TCTGGCATGATGGAAATAAAAAACCCAGTGGATATTTATGTTTAGCACTTTGCCTCTTAAGTGGAAAATAAATATTCACCTTTTCTGTCTGACTGGTTTGGGTCATCACTGGGTGCGGGTGACGTCTCTTCTGCTGTCACTTCCACTGCTCCATCTGCATCTTCATTACCAGCCAACATCTCGTCAAGACTCCTCAGCTCCTCGGATATCTGCTCCACTTTACGCTTTGTGTCCGCTGGGAACAGACAAAAAAAGAGGGAGGGAAAGAGAGTCATATATTTCTTTATGTTATAAATTGGACAATGGAAGATTTAAAATAAATAACACCAATTCAATGTTAAATGTCAAAAAGTCGTGCATTTTTATATTTACTGCATTTATCTTCATATCACAATCGCATATTTAAATACTCCTTTCCCACATTATGTTGGGCTCCAGTATCCTACTTCAGCAGGGAATTATTACATTCAAGCAATTCTCTCCAAATGCTGCATCAGTGACCTTCATTTATGTTAACTCACAGACTTGAGTCTTGACGTAATCCATGTACTGTTGGGCACTTAGTGCTGGCTGGCACACGATACCCTGCGGCTTGGCAGTGGATGGTGGCCGCAAGAATGGATGCTGGCAGGTGCGACTGGTGTGAACTGTCAGCACATATCGGCACGACTGAGGCTCATCCACTCGAGCAATGTAGTCACCCGAGCCTTCTTCACACACAAACTGGAAACAATAAAGAGTAAAATAGTCTAGGTGTGTATAGGGGGGTCATTTGGTAAAATGTGCACATTTCCACTGACTTCATATCCCTGTTTGGAACAGCAAAACAGAAACCAAAACAAGAAAAACAGCAGGTGAAAAACAAATATATCCCGAATGCAAATGTCTCACCCGGACTTCAGTCTCTCTGGGATTTCCATTTAGGTCACACTTAGAGCCATTTACATAGGTCTGACTGTGGTAGCGCTTCAGCCTGTGCTGTTTTGAGGCCTGTTAATTAAACAGAAAAGATGTTTCAACAAAACGGATTTGTAATATTATAGGAGCAATGATGCTCGGTACATCAGCCAAAAGTTGAACATGGTTTCTGATGTTTGTGCGCTTCTGATGATTCACAGATAAGTCACCATTACTGAAGCAGGTCAATCACCAGACACACTCTTTGAAGAACAGGATTGGGTTGCACCAGCAGGTTGTAAAACTATGCAATCAACCATTAAAAGTATCCACCGTCACATACAACTACAAAGGTTCAGCTCATATTATACAACCACGCAATTCCCGTTTTTGTCTTTCTTGAATGTAAAACAGAAATCTAAGCCACCAAAAACAACTACTACCACAAAAGTTGAGGCAACACTACCTTTGCTGTTTCATTGCTCCAATCAAATTCAGATTCATAATAACCAAGGAAGAGAATGTCCCCTTTGATCTCTGTGTCTGAGGAGAGAAGATCATCATCGTCAAAGACGGCTCATCTGTCAAAAGGATCATCATGAAAAATGCAGCGGTAAGCTCTTACCTTCAAGATGGTACTGTCTGATGTACTGTCCATGGCAGAACTCATATGTCCACCAGTCCTTCGTCTGCGGGAAACACAGACAGCAAACGTTTCAATACGCTGTAACTGACACACACTTCATTTACGGTGCTTGCTTAATGTCATCAACAATAATGATGAATCTTCCTATTCTTATTCCACACACTTAAACTACTTATTTAACAAGAGTGTGTGTGTGTCAAATGGGAAATAATTTCATTATCATGTGTGTTAAAAGTAAAATAAAATACAGGCTGCATTTCGTTCCTTACACTGTTTTCTTTAGCAAATTATTCAGCAGAGTTGATCTTGATGCATTTCTTCTCATGACCAGTGTAGCTTCCCTGAACAACAGCCACACTTGTTCAATATGGGGTGGTGATGGCGCATAGATAAGATGCTTGCCTTTGGTGTGGGAGAGCTGGGTTTCGATTCCCACTGTGAGACTTCCACCATTGTGTCCCTGAGCAAGACACTTAACCCCTAGTTGCTCCAGAGGCGTGCGACCTCTGACATGCATAACAATTGTAAGTCCCTTTTTTATAAAAGTGTCAGCTAAATGAATAAATGTAAATATATGTGGCATTTTGCTGTGTGAAACAAAACCTCTGCTCTTTTTCCATGAAGATAAATTTTTTATTTCTTAAAAGTGTATTTTTTTTTATGGTTTCATGGTATAGAGTATCCTGCGATGGACTGGCGACCTGTCCAGGGTGAATGATGGATGGATAGATGGTAGGTATACAGTATCCTGCGAGTATTTTATAGTAGAGGCGGTCTTTGTTTCAGGTGAGTTTGCCCACCTTTGCTATAAAATACTCGCAGGATACTGTATACCTTCCATCCAACCGCTTATCCTGCGTACAGCGGGGGGCTGGAGCCAATCCCAGCTTACATCAGGAGAAAGGTGGGGTACACCCTGGACAGGTCGCCAGTCCATATTTTAACTCATTGTGTTTCTCATTTCATTATCGTTTACAGGACTAAAAACTCAAAGGAATTATTTTAGTATCCCTTACAGCCACAGTATACTGGTATGGCAACAAAAGTGCAACCACACACAAGTATCTTATGAGGAGATACTGAGGAGATGAACTATGTTATTGGGCACTAGGTCATGCAACACATTTAGCAAACCACTCTCATAACCTTTTTTTTGACTGCGCTACAATATGAGGAAGATGCAGAAAAAGTTAAGCAGCAGCAGATAGTGAAAACATAAACCAGCATTACAATGTCTTTTCCATCAAGTTATACTGGCAGAATATTGGAACGGTTTGCATTGTAACTCCACTTTCTAGTGTAGCTGAAAGTGAATCATTGATGTTGTATATTTTGGATATATCATAATCTGTTTGGGGAAAGTGTTACAAGTAACCATTTCCTGCTTTAACATCTTCTCAAGGTGCAGCACAGTGAAGCTACTGAGTGTCTTGAGTTACAGGATGGTGCCTATACTGGAAAGACCACCTTTATAAATGTCAAATGGTTTCAGAGCCCAGTTCATTCACACTTCATGTATATATCAGGACTGTGTCTACTGTAGATCCAGTTGTGAAAGATTGCTGTCAACACATCAAAACACATCTCAGACTTGTGATCCCATTTCACTTCCATACTTATATTTGATTATATCTGTTTGCTCATTGGTGTCATTTCTCGTGTATGGACCTGAAAACCCTGTCTGAACTGTATGGCATGTGCAAATTATCTGTCTCGCTGTACTTCTCGTGCTTTTTATGAGCACTGCAAAGTTGACTTAAGTAAATGTATATACAGTATTTAAGTTTGGAGTGTTTTTTCATATAATCTGATCTCCTGTTTGCAGGTGGAGAATTACAGTATATTTGTCTATATACATAGTCTGAAATATGGCTCGTGTGGCCAAGTTCCAGTATTTTCTGAGTGTGTTTTTGGGGCAAACGATGGAAAAATGGATTAATTTTCTTGACAATACATTGTAGCGGTGGTCAGTGTGATAGTTTGCAGCTGGTTGTTACAGCTGTAATCTGTTTCTAAACAGCCTCAGCATTTGACTGTTGGATCACACAGATAAGCAGTTGAGAACTTACCTTCACTAGACACTGGGCATTGTGCATCGGACTGAGCAGGTCTGGGATCTCAGGCCCAGTGTACCCCTGTGAGTCAGGCTCAGAGGCAGGATCCTGATGAAACCGGACAGCCTGGGCTGGAAGTCGACACTCATACAGCTGCTTGTACTTACTGGACACCATCATAACCTCCTCTGTCTTGGTCTAAAGGAGAAACACTGTCATGACAACTGCAGTGTTTTCAAGTGTGGCAATGTCATACATTAGTACAGTACTTCAATGTTTAAAGCCTATTCACTACCTCGTTTTGCGATTGTTGAAGACTTTGCAACCAGTTACTTAAGTGGAAGTGAGGAAGTTGAGGTTGTGTTGTGGCAACTGTCTACGATGGTTGCTGCGTAGGTCACTTGAAAATAACTTCAAAATGAACGCTTCTTCGTGTAACTTGCAAGCAAACTGTCCATTTTAAATGTGAGGTTTCTCACCTAACTAACACACACGTTATTCATTATTCGCGTTAGTAACATTAAGATGAAGATATTTGACGCTTGCTAAACAGTAGCCTATCTTCTAACATTAGCAAGCAAGCTAACCGTTAGCTTCCCGAAAACACTCTCACTCACCTTCCCCAGAATGACGGGATCGGGAAGTATTTGAATCCCATATTTCATCTCATTCAGCTCCTCTAAATTCAAAAAGGCTGGGACACAAAGGGGACATATTAACAAGAAAACGTACAACCTTTTTAGCCACCGTACGAAGGCAGCAGCCATGATTGACTCTCTCATCATACACACATTTGTCTGACAGCAGCAAAACACAGAACGCCTGACATGGTAGAAGCTGATTGGTCGACGGGGGAGGTGCTGCTCTGTCATTGGCTAATTCTTGTGTCTGTCAACAGGGGTTCCACCTCTGGGGTGTGTTAGTTTACAACACCGGCACAGAGTGAATACACGGCGTGTCTACATTTGTGACCTTAAAAATTGAAACAACGCACATGTGAGCTGTCAACGTTTGTCTAGACGTAAAATGAACTCACATAAATGCAAAGAAACCAGGCGCCTGATAGATGAGGCGTGTCACGAGCCAATTTGGCCAAATTGCTATCATGTGGATTATTTTTATTATTAGGTTACACCAGACTAGGCTTACTGTTTTCTAAGATTTATAAAGTCCGCACGTATAATTATAAACTTCTGCAGCTGGTGACCAATAAGCACACAATGCTGAAGGGTGAACCTCTATTGTGTGGCGTTTTATGTCAAAATGAATTATTTGCATAACATAACCAGTATGGAAATAAGGCAGATTGTCAAAAAAACATTTTCCCTTTTAAACGCACTCACACACACACGCAGCGCAGACGTCCACACCCACCCATCTAGGCTACACATGCACATATTATGGTTCAGTTATGTTCATGAGCAGGTCAACTTGCTGCAAATCAATAATGCATGAATGTTAAGATATCGTGCTGTAGTTCACCTATATAGTTTAATTGTATATTTTGCAGTCGCATGTCGGGGCTCCATGATGCTGCTGCTCCGCTGATTGACCGCTGAGTGTTGTGCTGAGGTGCGGTGCGCTCTCCGCTGTGCTGCTGCTGCTGCAGGGGGAGCGTCCGTCCACAGCCTGCAGCTCTACCGCTTTATTTGTCTCCTGGCTGCTCTGTTGTACCACATCTAATCCCACTAGCAAGACCACTGGGGAACAAATTCATTAAGAAGGGCGACCTCCGTGCTGGCTGGAGGTGAAACAGCCTAGGCTACATCGTGCGTCTTAAACTGAGGTGAGCGCCCTATATTGTTTGACTTGTAATAATAGTAATAGGCCTGTACGTCTCCACTACGTAATTTTTTGTCGGTATTTCCAGCTCTTAATGTCTGACGGTTTCTCTACCGGACAAAACACGAGAAGAAAAGAAATGCGTGGCACGTTTTGGAGCCAAGCAATTTTCGATAAATGCCTGAAAAAGCTTTGTTTGAAGGATTTTTTTTTTTTAGCATTTAAGGAATGTAATCGGTAGTCTCATAAAGCTTTGTGTGCATGATTTTTTCCCTTCTGTCTTATTCACGACAAGGTAGGCTAGTAGGCCTGTCTGAGATAGTAGCCTAAAATGTATGTCTGCGACCATGTTCTGGACGATTGCATTACTTTGGTACTTTTCTTATCTTTAAGGATGCTGGGTAGTATGGAAGAGTAGCTGATGCAGAATCAACCTGAGGTGATTTATTGTCCAGAATCTGGATGAGGCAACAGATCCGTCACGCGCACTTCGTAAGGGACCCACTATGTCTGTAACATGTCCCCGGCGCTCCTTACTTCCTCACTGGCTCGTTTTTTGGTTAATTAAAATCAGCATCGCAACTAATAAAGCATGCAGCAGTTTTATTCTGATTGGCCTATGGACAATTCTTCATGACTCTCTCTTGAACGGCCCGGTTACGTTTAAGGATGGTTACCCCATCACAGCTAATTATCATTAAAGATGCACACTTTAATCCGTAAGGCTATGGGGCTGGGTAATGCCACTATAAAACTGTGGGGTTGACTTACCAAGGTTAACAAGACACAAATCTCACTTAATGTGAAAAGAAATTGTTGTGTTTTTCACAGTTATTTAAAATGATACTCCTTTAGGTATTCCTTCATCACTGCTTTTGTTTGCAAATCATGGCCTGAGCTGAACTCAGTGTTATCTTATACGTTTTAACCAATATGCACTTTGTAGACAGTCTGACTGAATTTTGTATTGTTTTACATATGACGTACCATACATACCATGTTGTTATTTCATGCTCTGAGAGTCTACTGTGTCATATAGCTTATCTAGACAAGAGAATCCGAAAGGTCTGATTGTAAAGCAAGTATTGTACAGTCTTCCATTATTGACAGTCAAGGGTACTCAAAATCTATTCTCAAGAAGTAGTTTATCTTACTTGTGAGTTTGGAAAATTAAACATACATGTATCTAATGCATACTCTGTTTATCCTACATCATGTGGAGTGCTTTGACACAATTTCCTGTGAGAGATGATTTAAGTGCACATGTCAAGAACAGATTGGCTGCTCGGTGCTGATCCTATCTATCTCTCCCCTACAGTGTATTGATTATTTTTCTACCCTAAATTGGTCACCCCCCAACCCTGAAGGATTTCCCCTGGGCACTGTAGGCATGCAGCTGATGAAGCACAATATCGACGCTTGACTGTGTTTATATGTGATGATGCAATTGCTTTATGCAGTTTTGTATCCAATTTATACTTCTTTGGAAACAAGTCTGTGATGTTATAGTGTTTTTTTGTCCTGTATTTTATGATTAATTTAGCTTATTTCTCTTTGTTACCAGATGAAGAAGGCGCTCTCTCATTTCAGTGACTATCTACATGGTTTCTGGAGATGCAGGTGCCTACAGAGGATAACCTTTCACTGACTGGATAGAGGCAGTTTGGTATATTTTTTTTCCTTTTTAAACACATATGCACGGGCTAGAAATTAAGAAAAGAGATATAAAGGAATTAATTAAGAGACAAACCATATACAAATGACATTTGTTTTAACATTTATTTGAAGTGTTTGCAGTAATTCATTGCCGCAAACAGCAACCAGCAATTCCAGAGGGAGAGTATCTACAAATACATACATGTACATGTGCACAGATACAGCGAATATGTGCACAATGCAATTTTGACCACGAATGGAGGGAGCATCACACACACACATATCAGTAATATCTCAAAAGCTTTCAGAGCGGAAATAGACTTCTTATTCATAGAAGGGAGCAGAAAGAGCTCATTGTGTACTGGCCTGTTACTAAAAAGAAAAACATCTGCTTTTAGTAGATGTAGTAGACACAAAGAGAGGAGATGATAGAAGAAAAAGAAAAAAAAAGAGGAAATAACAACTTCCAGATGGTAAGTGCACAAGTTTTACACATACTGAGCTAACTGACACCCACAGTAAATATAACCACAGGGAATCTGAAAAATGCTCTAAATGACGGTGATTTACAGGATAGATTTTTTTCATGAATGTCCGTATGTCCGTGCGTGGGATGGGGGAGAAAATCCACAGTGATGAATCATTTTTAAGTTCAGCCAAGGCTACTAGTTGGTACTCAAGTACCGGATGACACAATATTACTTCTTAGCAGATCTTTTAATGCTTGCTATTATCAGCATTACATCAAGGAGAAGCAGTGTAGCCTTAGCTCTTATAGCACTTTACAACTAATAAACATAGCATAACAACAGGAAGCACATTATTGCACACAAGTTGTTATTCGAACTTTCTTTACTTGCTCATGACATTTTTCAGTTTAATTTAGCATTTATTTTTACAATGTAAAAACATAACAGAAGTTATCTCAGGGCACTTTTCATATAGATCTAGCCTAGATTGTACTCTTTGTAATATTATTTTCTTGTCTTAAGCCACATTGTTCTTCTCTTATCCTTCGTACCGCATAACATCTCATACTTCCCTCATGTGTTTTTCTCCTTAACCTCCTCCACACAGAAAGATGGTTAAACTCCCCTCCAGCGCGTGTGCACATATGTGTGTAATAACCTTGCTCCAGCTGTACTTTGTCCATATGTGACAAAAACAAATACTAATAGAATCACCCCTAGGGGATCTGCAAATGGCAACTGCAAGTTTGCACAGCACAAAACCAGTTTTGGTCAATCATCTTTCTCTGTAAAAAGGGATACATTTACCAACTGAAAAAAACACAAACTAATCTGAAAACATTTAATGAAAAGGTGAAACACTGGCAGCAACGAAACCAAATCTGTGGTCACTAATCATGCACTTGTGCAGACGCACTTATAAATGGACATGTACGTACGGATAGAGAAATAGACACACACAGATATATATGTATGTACATATTTATAATGTGCTTATTTGTTCCTGACTGGTGTGTTTTTGTTTTTTGTTGTTGTTGTTGTTGTTTGTTTGTTTCTGTTTTCTTGGTAATGGTGATGTGTGTAGCCTAACCAGGGACAGTGGTTGCAAATTAGCTTCAGCTAGTAACCCTATATGCAACACATTTGTCCAAGTTATTGTAACCTATTACAATGTATCTCTTCTGCATTGTCCCTGACAAATAAACAATAAAATGAAATAAATACAATTAAGGGAACACTTAAATCACACATCATATCTCAATGAATGAAGTAGGTCAAAGTTGAAAATCTTTACTGTACCTTGTATAATTCATTGAGAACAATATTAAGTGACATTGGTCAATGGAAACCAAAATCACCAACCGATTGAGGGCTGGATTCAAAATCATACTGAAAATCAAAGTAAAAAAAATGTAATCACAGGCTGATCAAACTTGTGTGACTTTCATCACAGCAACTCATAATGTGACTCAGTAGTGCCTGTATGCACTCCTGACAGTATCTGGGCATGCTCCTGATGAGATGGCTGATGGTGTCCTGGTGGATCTTCTCCCAAACCTGAATCAGGGCATCAGTGAGCCCCTGGATAGTCTGTGGCACTACTTGGCGGCATCACAGGCACAAATACACAACGTCTCTGAGGTTCTCTATTGGATTCAGGTCTGAGGAATGTGAGGATCAGTCAATGGCATCACTGTCATCTGGGAACTGCCTACACACTCTGGCCACACGAAGCCGGGTATAGTCCTGCACCAGGACCACTGCACCAGCATGAGGTCTGATCATGGCGTTCAGGATTTCATCCCTGTACCTACAAAAACAGCAGTCCGGGGTACCGTATTGGCTAGCAAATGGAGGTCTGTGCGTCCCTCCAAGGATATGCCTCCCCACAGCGAATGCCAATCAAGCTGCATGGTGGTGGGCTCTAGAGGAAGTTGGTTGGCAGTGCTCCAGAGCCCTACAAAATCTAGAATGCATCTCCTGTTCCTCATCACACAAAAAAGCAGATACCGGTCCTACTTCTGGGTTGATGCCCTTCTACGATCCTGTCCAGGCTCCATGTCGAAGTTTCCTTGGGCAAGATACTGAACCCCGAATGGCCCCCGATGGCTGCTGTGCATGAAACTGTAACAGCGTTTGAGTGGTCAGAAGACTAGGAAGGCACTAGGCACTAGAAAGATACAGCAAACCAATGACATGTATGGATTTGTCATCCTGGAGGTGCTGGACTACCTGAGCAACCTGAATGGGCTGTGGGTACCGCCTCATGCTACCAGTAGTGACAAGGACACAAAACTAAAAAACAACGTAAAACTAGAGTGAGAACGGTCAGGAAGGATAAGGGGAGAGCAGTTGTCTGTGGCCACTACCTGCAAAACCATTCTCTTTTTGAGGGTTGTCTTGCTGTGACCTCTCCAGTGCACCCGTTGTCCCTTTTGTCACATTTTTTGAGCAGTGCATGTGGATACATAAAACAACAGCAGGATCACAAAAACAAATTATCACTGGATATTCCCTCACAATAGAGAATTACAAAAAGAACCATGTTAATGTGATGAGCTAAAGTTGAGGGATATTAACACAGAACATGTCCTACTTACAAGACTTTAGTTTGAAAGATATCCCCTTAATTTGGCTAACTGAGACTGATGAAGCTTGATCAGCAGAACGTTAAAATGCGACTGTGGATTTTCTACCGCTATTACTACTGGAGTCTTGTTAGGAAGGGACGTCTAAGTATGGACAGGTGGAATAATTACAGCAACCAGAAAGCTTTTTAACAAACATGTCTGTGTCAGGTTTGAGGATGCGCTCCCTGAGAAAGACGGTGCTGCTCGCCATCCTGGTGTCTGTGGTGCTGGTACTGGCCCTCCTCCATTCATGGCCAACTCGGGTTTACACCACAGTGGATGTGTGGCAGCGACCAGCGACTATAGTAGAGAGGCACCTGGAGGAGAGGCTCCCAGAACCAGACCACGGATTAGGCAACATCCCCTTTCATGTGAGGGACAGTGTGGCAAGGTATGTGTTTTTTTTTTTTTTTTTTTAAACAACTTAATTTATTCCATCTCAGCAGAACAGAGCTCCGCTTCCTCACATACACATGTCTCTGATAATCCGTCCAGCTTGTTGGCACGAAATGGATGCGTATGTGAGGGTGAGAGTGGAGGAGTGAACCTGCCCTTCGCCCAACTTCTATTCCCACGGGTGTCAGCTCACCCGCTGCACACTGCCTTTGAGGCGTCTGAGCTGGAGGAAATGAAGAGGAGACGGGCCAAAGAGTACAAGAGTTTCCAGAAGAGGTAAGCAGCAGGCTAACGATGGAATGTCAGTTCTCTCTCTCTCTCTCTCTCTCTCTCTCTCTCTCTCTCTCTCTCTCTCTCTCTCTCTCTGTGACATGGAGAAAATGATGCCCTCATATCAACTGTCTCAAATACTGTACCTCTTAACCTCCTAGTTTTGTACTTTATTATTACATCTTTAACTGACCCAGAACAGCACAGCAGGAGATCAAAAAGGAAAAATCCATTATTGATGTTCTTTTCTCCTTATACCAACTTCCTTGATACTTTTAACATTGAAACGTTTTTTCTAAAAGATTGTTCCCCCAGCAAAATCATACGGTGGCATGGTATTTTATTAATAGCTGCTTTTGAATTCTCTTGTGTCAGTCAGTTTATGTTTTCAAAGAGCCAAACACACTCACTGGATATGAAGCGTATTTGTCCACTTATTCTCTTCCTGTCTATGCTTGTGACTTCTTCCCCTCAGGTCACAGACGCCTGCAGATGTTCTCATCATTGCAGAGGCTAACAATCCCTTACAGTATCCAACACAGGGGGTGGAGGTACGACCCCTTAAAACAATCATCATCCCAGGTAAGACTTTACACAGAGCAGGACACACATTTAAACAAGTCTTACATGTTAAATTAGATTGTTAAATCTGGAGGGTGTGGTGCCACTTCTACAGCTATTAAACCATCAAGCTACCTATTGAAAAGCTAATTTATCAAACACCAACCAAGAGCTGGTTCTTATGTGACCTCTACAGTCTCATGTTCAGAAAGCACACTGGATTTCACTAATCTGCATTACCTTAATATGTGATTTGCACAAAGCTTTAAAAAAAAATGCTGGCAGGAAGTGGATTAAAAATGTCCTAATGGCTGTAGTGACTAAGTCTGTCAGTTGTTTCCATATGCTTTCAGGCTTGGCCGTACATGAACTTCCCAGAGACCACTATTCAGTAAGTACTTCAGTATGTCTTTAATTTGACATTTTTTAGATATTTGCTGTCCTTTTATCCCAACTGCTTTTCTTTCCATTGCTCTGCAGATAAACATCACTGCCACGCTGGGAACGCTGAATGTGGCGGCAGAGGTAGATGGGGTGAAAATCAAAGGGGATGGCGAGATGCACATGACTCTGTCTAGCAGCCTTCTGCCGAACCTGAACCGACAGTTGCAGTTTGTCACCTACACAAACACACTGTTCCACCCGAGCACAGCAGACACAGGTGAGGCCTCAAACCAACATCACCATTTGCTTTGTCTCATCTGCTGGTGATGGCTGTAGTATCCAATACTTATGCATTTGACTCATAACAGTTCAAAATAGCACTGTAGCAGCAAGACAGAGGGTCAGTGACCTTCTACGGGGAGAGCAGTGATTGGTGGTTATGTAGGGACTGAACCCTTCTATAGAATTTGACCTCTAACCCCTTGTTTTGTTACCTCAAGATAGTACTGTACCCTTCTATGGGTTTGACCTTTTACTTTGCAGACTTAAACCCTTCTATGGTACCTAACAGATACCTAAACATATCCTATATAAGCTATGTTTGATGTACAGAGAGACAGAGTGGTCATCGGGCTGGGCCACTCTCCAAGCTGCTGCAGAGCTTGTAATTGATGCTGAACTCTTTGATTTAATAAACTTTTATGATCAAGAACAGTGTCGAGCGGGTTTCCTCTCAACACATCATCGCAGCATTATTGTTCGGACACCACATGGCGTAATGGATAAGGCACATGCCTTTGGTGTGAGAGACCCAGGATCAGTCCCCCACTGTGACCCATCCACCGATGTGTCCCTGAACAAGACACTTAACCCCTAGTTGCTCCAGAGTTGTGCGACCTCTGACATTAATAGCAATTGTAAGTCGCTTTGGATAAAAGTATCAGATAAATGTACTGTAATCTGCCCTCTGGACTTTCCTATTCTTATTTTTTTTTAAGTAATGGAGGACACTCGGGAGAAAGTTGGAGTAAATCATTACCGCTTTTATGCCAGCAGCAGGTTAGGTTAGCTTTGCATGAAGACTGGAAACAGGAGGAAAGATGTGGCTGTTAGTGGGCTTTCACTTTTGTTGCCAGCGGTTTAGACATTAATGGCTGTGTGATGTGTTATCTTGAGGGGACAGCTAGTTTACACTGTTATACAAGCTGTTCGCTCACTACTTTACATTGTAGCAAAATGTCATTTCTTCAGTGTTGTCACATGAAAAGATATAATCAAATGTTTACAAAAATGTGAGGGGTGTACTCACTTTTGTGAGATACTATAATTCAATTTGGTTTTTTTTTTCTTTTAATGGATTCGCACCTGCTGTTGGTAATGACACTGATGTTATAATCCAGGCATGAGTAAATATTTGCAAAGGTTTAGACACTATTTATTTGTCAAACAGCTGGGCATCTTATCAGGGGGCAGCCTAATAATACATACTGTTTTTTTAGGTTGACTTTGAATATTCAGTGGGAGAGGTAAATGACTTGTTCTTTTTGCTTCAATACAGAAAAGTGGTGAACAGGGACAAAGCCTGAGGACAGGCAAAAACCAAAGACCAAATGTACCTCTCTGAATTGTCTGTCAAGCTTTTAGCAGGTGTTAATCATTATTAATATATTAGTATATCAGCATATTAACAACAGGGGAGGATGAGCCACAGTAAGATCTTATTACACCGGTCAAATTCATTAAAAGTATCTTTTTGTTGTATATTTTAGTGCAGTTTGAGACAGAGGGGCATCAAGCCATCTTCAGTATCAAGATTCGTCACGGTGTAACACCCAAACTGTATAACACAGGATCCAAAGGAGGTAAAAACACAACATCAATAGTGTCTAAGTCAAAAATCATGCCATTGTTGAACAATGTGCCTGCTATTTGTGAAATATCACCTAAAACGCTAAATTGATATTCTTTCTTTGCAGAGTACAATGTCAGTGCCCTTGTTACCATAGCCACGAAGACTTTCCTGCGCTATGACAAGCTTCAAGATCTTATCGACAGTGTGAGACGATACTACCCCACTGTCACCATAGTAATCGCTGATGACAGTGAAAATCCCCAAACCATCTCCGGGCCTCACATCGAACATTACATCATGCCTTTTGGAAAGGTAGGGAAGTGCGAGACACACGCTAAACTCTTTTAATTTCACATGTCTGCTCTTTGGTATTGGAGCTCTGTCTTTTGTCATAGGGTTGGTTTGCTGGACGAAACCTGGCCGTCTCTCAGGTGACCACAAAGTACGTGCTGTGGGTAGACGACGACTTCATCTTCACAGCCAACACCAAGCTGGAGAGACTTGTGGATGTTTTAGAGAGAACCACTCTGGATCTGGTGAGGGACAGAGGAATAAACTGTTTTCAGTGACTGTGGCAGCCTGATGTTCTTGCTGAGATGTCTGTGTGTGTGTGTGTGTGTGTGTCCAGGTGGGTGGTGCAGTGCGGGAGGCCACAGGTTATACTGCCACCTACAGACAGACCATCTCCATTGAGCCAGGGGAGGAGAATGGTGACTGTTTACACATGAGGAGAGGATTTCATCACATCATCCAAGGCTTCCCCAACTGTGTTGTGACTGACGGGGTCATTAACTTCTTCTTGGCTCGCACCGACAAAGTCCAGCAGGTCGGCTTTGACCCGCGTCTCGCCAGGGTAGCTCACCTGGGTGAGTACAGTGAAACACCTCCGACAGAATTATTTTCATATCGAGCATATTGTAAAGATGTTACCAGTGATATGGCTTATATACAATGTAATATAAAAACTGTTGTTCTAACATTATTCTCATCACAAGATATACATTTTTATAATGCCACATACATTTATCAGAGCAGGAAAAAATAAATAGCTGTGTCCCAATTCCACTACTGTACATACTAATTCTATACAGCATTTCGGAGTATTTCTCCATACTGGTACTTTGAGCAAAGGCAAGGCAAGTTTATTTGTATAGCACATTTCAACAACAAGGTAATTCAAAGTGCTTTACATAAAACATAAAAGCAACAGGGAAATATGAAAAAGTTTAAAAGCAACATAGGGAAATTGAAAAATACACATTAAAATATAATAAATGTTACAGTGCAGTGTACAATCAGGGTAAAAGAGTTAAATGGAAAATAAAAACAGGCTGAGGGGTTGAGCAAATAATTGAGTTACAATTATTTTGAAAAGAGAATAAACAGAGAAGTAGACTTAATCTACTCTCTCTAGCTAGTCTGTACTCGGGTCCATAGCAATCTTCGGGTCCACTGAAACTCCAAAAACCCTCGGACACTACAGAGAAACCAGGACATGTCTGTCCGCAGGCCACTTTGATCCAGTGATACTTTGGACCCACCTGCGCGTTTACAGGTGGACAGAGGTTCCTGATAATCACTCAGGCACGAGATTTAAGAACACTTACTTCACTCTGTTCAATCTCGCTCTCATTATCTTTTCACTCAATTACATGCTCTAAAAAAAACAAAGAAAAAGAAAACAGGACAGTAAAAGTTACAGTGCAGTGTAAGTTATCAATCTACCAATTAAAGGCAGTGGTAAAAACAAAAATCTTAAATATTTAATTAAAAGCTATGGTAAAAAGAAAAGTCTTCAGTCTTAATTTAAAATAACTGAGTTTCAGCAGACCTGCAGTTATCTGGGAGTTTGTTCCAGATTTACGGAGCATAATAACTGAACGCTGCTTCTCCTTGTTTCGATTTGACTCTGGGGACAGAAAGCAAACCTGCCCCAGACGACCTGAGAGGTCTGGATGGTTCGTAACGAAGCGTAAGATCAGAAATGTATTTTGGCCCTAAACCATTTAGTGCTTTATAAACTAACAGCAGGAGTTTGAAATCAATTCTTTGACATACAGGAAGCCAATGTAAAGACCTCAGAACAGGAGTGATGTGATCCACCTTTTTGGTCTTAGTGAGGACTCGAGCAGCAGCGTTCTGAATCAGCTGCAGCTGTCTGATGGATTTCTTAGGGAGCCCTGTAAAGACACCGTTACAGTAGTCGAGTCGACTGAAGATAAATGCATGGATAAGTTTTTCCAGCCTGAGACCAATCGTTGGCATTAAATGTAGCCTAAATAGCAGCCTGCCTGGGTGTGTTCAGAGAACAGCTGATGGAGTTACTACTGGGTCCAGAGTTGTTGTTTTTAAGTTTTCATTAGTCAGGAAGTTTCTACACAGAGCTGAAGTCGGTCTCCTCCTCTTCAAAATCAGCTGAACAGCTGATTACAGCAGGTAATAAAGCTCACGTTCCTCCGACGCTCAGGCCACACAGACGTGAGTCCTGCAGCTGATCTGCAGCTCTTGTCACTGGAAATGTTTTAATAACCTTCCAAACTGTCGCAATTTTATTTTTGCGTTGTTTTATCTGTGCTGGAGTTATTTTAAGAACGTGGTGGTTTTATCCAGTTTGTTATCCACACATGTCTCGCGGATGTCCGCCTGAGATCATATGTCGGCATTAAATTTATAGCTGGGGAAACAGCAGCCAGCGTTCAGCGGTGTGTTTACAGTGAGCAGCTGATGGAGTTAAGCTAAATACTGGGTCAGAAGTTGTTGTTTAGAGTTTTCATCAGTCAGGAAGTTTCTACAAGGAGACGAAATCGGTCTCCTCCTCTCCAAAACAAGCGGACCAGCTGATTACAGCAGGGGCGAGTTCAATCTCAAAACGTTTTGCACCGGATTGCAATATTTTCGGATTGAACGACATGTTTGCTTGCAACGTTGCGCAACGTTCTTCTTCTTAGTTAATGGCGGATTGCAAACAACTTTTAAGTGCATACCGTCACCTACTGTATTGGAGTGTGTAACATCATATCACTCAGCTATCAACCTCAATAAGGTGTTCTCATATTCTCCCAGTGTCTTTAAGAAATTTAAATAATGCCTTCCTGGTGATTCTCATTTTCTTCTCCTTCTGTTCCCAATACCCCCATCAGATTCCAGTCCCGCCCTGCTTCCTGAACTCTATCTTGAAATATCTGTCTTTCCAACTCAAACAATATGCAGTGCAAAATGATATGTTCAACATTTTCTTTAACCCCACAGTTTTCACACTTTTCACTATTCCTTTTCCCCAATAAAAACAAGGTGCCATTCAGTCCTGTGTGATCTACTCTTAGTTTTGTCATTATAATTTCCTCCCGCCTGGTCCTTTCGCTATAATTTTTATTACTGACAGACTTTTGTATTTTATAGTAACTCCTTCCTTTCCTGTCTTCTTCCAACCATTTCTGCCATATTTCAGTACCTTTCGTCTTAATGGCTGTTTTTCCTTCTCCTTTTCCTAGCGGTATTTGAACTGTTATTTCCTTTTGTAATGCCTCTTTTGCTAGTTTGTCTGCAATCTCATTTCCATTTACTCCCTCATGAGCTGGCACCCAGCAAAACTGAACATCTATCCCTCCCCGATGTAATCTTAGTAAGCTGTGAAACATTTCTATCAGTAGGTCTTCTCTGCCAGATGTCACTGACTGAATGCTTTTAATAACTGCTAAGTAGTCTGCTTAATATCACCCTATCAGGTCTGACCTCTTCAACCCACTGTAATGCTATAATGACTGCCACTATTTCTGCTGTATATACGGATAGCCTACCTGATAATCATTTTGAGATATTTATTTTGAATTCTGGTATATGTATTCCAATTCCCACACATTCCTGTTTGTTTTTAGATCCATCTGTATAGATTTTTAGATAATTATGGAAACTGTTTCTGAGATAGCTGCTTGTCCGTATTCCCACTTCCTCTATTCCCCATCCTCTTTTCTTTTCCAGTATACTAAAATCTGTTTTTACGTCTGGATAGAGCCAAGGTTGAATGTTACTGACTGGACTGGGTGTGGTGAAATCTAATACTTCCATTCCGTATTCCCTGGCTCTCTTTTCCCCCGTCCATCCAAACCCATGCCCCTGAAACTTGAAATATTCCCAACAATCCTTTATCTCCTTTGCAGGGTTTTCTTTCACACTTTCTTTCAATCTGGCCCAATATGCTAGCGCTAGTTTCTCTCTTCTTAACTCCAGTGGTGTCTCTCCAGCTTCTATGAGTATTGTGTTAATGGGAGTTGTCTTAATGGCTCCAATGCATATCCGTTAGGCTCTGTAATTTTTTACAAGGTTGTTTTTGCCGCTGCATCATATACTATGCAACCATAATCTATTGATGACCTCATGCATGCTCTATATATGTCAATTAGTGACTGTTTATCTGCACCCCAGTCGCATCCCGCCACCACTCTAATAACTTGTTTGCATTTAGTTTCCAATTGCTTTATGTGTTTTCCATGTGTACTTACTATCAAACCACAATCCCAAATACTTTAATTCATTTACTTTTTCCATTGGCTGCTGATATAGAAAAAGCTTTTCTACATGACACTTTCGCTTGTTTGTGAACACCATATAACAGGATTTGCTTGTTGATATTTTAAATCCCCACTTGAATGACCACTTCTCTACTTTCCCTATTGCTTTCCTAATGTTCTCTAACACATATGTCTCATTTCTTCCTCTCATCCATATGGCCCCATCATCTGCATATAACGCTCATTTGATGTGTCCATCTAAATCTGAAAATATATCATTAATCATAATGTTGAATAATATAGGGCTAATTGCGCTCCCCTGGGGAATGCCATTATTTACCTTAAACTCTGTAGAAATTTCTGATCCAACCTTTACTCTAATTTTCCTATCTGTTAAAAAGTCTAGTATCCAGTTATAAATACTTCCTTCAAACCCCATTCTATTTAGTTTTAATAAGTAGTCCTTCCCTCCACATAGTATCATATGCCTTCTCAATGTCAAAATACACTATTATCATCAGCTCTTTCATTTTCAGTGCCTTTTCTACCTCATTACTTACTCTAACGAGAGCATTTCCAAAATCCATTTTGTATATTACTCAGTAGTCCTCTCTCTGTTGTATGTTGTATCCATACATGTGATAACCTACGAACTATTATCCTCTCCATCCATTTGCATAAGTGTGATGTCAGAGCTATGGGTCTATAATTACCAGGATTGGTTGGGTCTTTACCAGGTTTGCTAAACGGTAGTATAACTGCACTTTTCCAACTTCTCGGTATTATTCCATCCTTCCATATTTTATTGAACAGTCTTAACACTAGCTTAATTGACTCTACTGGCAGCTGATGGAATATGGCATAACATAACTGGTCTTGTCCTGGGGCTGTATATCCTGTGCCAAGCAAAGCTATATTGAGTTCTGTTATTGTAAAATCTGCATCTAAAGTTGTACCATCCTCCCTCTTCAGCTTCACGTCCTTATTTTCTCTGAGTGCCAGGTCTTTCTGTTGCTTATGAATATCCATAAGGTGATCACCACTATACACAGCAGCAAAAGCACTACCCAACATCTCTGTCTTTTCTTTGTCTGACACCACCGTCTTTCCTCCATCTATCAAAGCTGGGATTTTAATCGCTTTCTTTTTCCCACTCATTCTTTTAAACATAGACCATATATCCCCTAACTCTACACCTCTGCCTATGGTGGAACAAAACTCTCTCCAATTTTTTTTTTTGGTTAACTTAATTGTCCTACGTGCCACTGCCCTTTTCCTTTGAAAATCCAAAACACTCTCTTGTGATAAATTCTTCTTTAATGTTTTAAAGCTTTGTTTCGTTCTTTTACAGCTCTGCTACACTCCTCATTCCACCAGGGGATCACTTTCTTCCTGCCCTTTGTTGTTCTTTTTTGAATACTTAAATGTGCTGCATTTATAATGTGTTCTGTAATTTGCTTTGTGCATTCCTCTACATCACCTTCTAACGTCACAAGGTTTGCTGACTTCGTACAACATAACCTAAATTTTTCCCAGTCCGCTTTCTCAAAGCACCATCTGTTAATTGTACTTCCTTCTTGGAAACATACATTTGTGTTGATAATAGTGAGAACTGCAAAATGGTCACTTCCTATGGTAGAATTATTCATAACAAACCATTCACATGCGTTTACCAAATTATCTGATACCAGTGTAATATCTAAACATGATGTTTTACCCCTATTCACATCCATTCGTGTTCCCTGTCCATTATTAATGCAGACCAGTAATCTTTCTTCCATCATTTCTTCAATTATGTCCCCATTATTATCTGTGTGATTGCTGCCCCATAAGCTGTTGTGTGCATTGAAGTCCCCACACCATATTTCTTTCCTGTATACAGTCCCTGCCATTTCATTAAGTTCACTGATATCTAAGTTTTTGCATGGGTTATAGAAATTAATCAATTTAATATTTCCCTCTTTCCTTGGGCTATATATTTCAACTATTATACATTCTAAATCTTCTGAGCTTGGGGATTCCCTGTAGGCCAACCCATCTTTGATAAAGGTGATGCACCCTCCACCAGTTTGGTTGTTAGGTCTATCGTACCTTATAGAGCTAAACCCTGGTATCACATAATCTAGTCTGTCTCGTAACCAAGTTTCATGTACACATATTGCATCTGGAACAACATCTAATTCATGAATGTACTTTTTGAATTCTTGACCATTAGCTATAAGACTTCTTGCGTTCCACTGTAGTATGTTAAGAACCATTATAAGCGTCCTAACCCTCAGTTTGTGCATTTCCATTTTCAACAACGCATGTATTTGATCTGCTTTGATATCTTTCATATCAAGAAGTTTTCCTGCTGCTTTTCTTTTTCAACTGGTACGCAACATTGATGGTGTGACATGAAACCTTTTTTCACTATCAAAGTATAATCGTCAACTTTACATTTATGCTCGCAACCATTCTGTGTGTGTGCTGGAATCTGGCTTTGTGTCTGATTCAATCTCTCATGTGTCCTTTTCAATCTCACAGATCTGGACATCATTCACTCCATCTCATCCCCATCTGAACTATTTGACATGATGTTACATTCACAGTACAGTTTATGCAGATCCGCCAACAAAGTTCGCTCCTACTATGTTTTCCGGCCACCGTTAGTTCACTCTCTCCGCGTAGCTCCAAACCTCCGCGCCTTCCGGCTCTCTCGACGTCCAATCCTCTCCTACCCAGTCTATGTGTGTTCTCGGACTAAACCTCGTTGCGCAACGTTCTGCAACGGGCTTCGAGGTATGTTTTCTCCCGTTTGGTGGGCGTGTCTCAAATGTTACCCAATCAGCTGCGAAACGTTTGTAAACACAACGGCGTTAAAAAGCCAGGAAAATGCAGTGCGCTTGCGTACACAACAGGGTGTTCAGGGGACCACCGTTTCGCTACGTTTTGTCTGCGCTGAACTCGCTCCAGGTAAAGCTCGTTAAACATCCCGTTCCTCCGACGCAGGCGGACACAGACATGTGCTGCCAGCTAATCTGCAGCTCTTGTTAGCTGTAAATGTTTTATTTTTGTGGTGCTTTCTCTGTGCTGGAGTTATTTTAAGAACTTTATGGTTTTATCCAGTTTGTTATTAAATGTGTAACGAACTTTATCGCGTGTCTCCTCATTATAGCTCCCACAAAAAAAGCTGCTTTAATGGTCAAGCTAAGCCTATAGTTCTTCATTATATTCCAGTCAAATCTGATGTTCATTTATAAATGTTGCTCATGGATCGTGGTTACAACTAATGATGCCTGTGCATCGCTGTGTACAGCCAGGCCTACAGTCTAAGTCAGCTGATTAATTTGCCTAATCTTCGCAGGTCTTTAGACCACGGTGGAAACACCACAGTTATTTCTAGCTCAGTTATTTCTCACATGTAACTGTCCTTGTTAGGGAGACAGTTAGACTGATAAGGTAGAGAAAAATTACAAATAATTCTAGTTTTTAATTCACCTATTTTACTTTACTTGAGTATTTCCATTTTATACTACTTTATACTTGACCACATTAATGCATCAATAATTATAATCCAATAACATAATACACATTATTCTGAAACTGGCCATTCTGCATAATGAGTACGTTTTGTACCTTAAGTCTATTTTGATACCGATATGTTTGTTTAAGTAGTATTTCTACACTGTTGTGTTGCTACTTACTTGGATTTTAGTCAAACTGCACAGGATGTTCAAGCCACTGCAGAATAAATTAACAGTAAACACATTTTTCTTTTGTTGTGAATATTTCTGGCTGTTAGCAGCTCCCCAAATTCCTCTGTGAATTTATTTTGGGACCATGGTTTCCATCAAAGACACATAAAAAAAATCCAGCTAATTTGTCATGTAAACTGACATCTTTGCTTATATGCGAGTTTGTCATTTATTTAGTGTTTACCTGTAATCTCAAGTCCCAGTTAGACTTAGTTATATGCAGTGTTGAGAAACACTTAATTTTTACTTTAACATTGAGAGTCAGCGAGAGATAAATAACTTTTTCCATCAAAAGAATGCTCTGCAGTAAGTAGTAGTATCTGAAAAAGGTACTGAAGAAAAATCATTAGACTCAGCTTAACTAAAAAACTTTGATGTGTGGTTTTGCTTAGAATGTAGAACAAGTTTCGCTCTACATTCAATAGGTCAAGTGTCCTCTGGTCACACCAGATCACTGGATTTATAGTTTTTTGAGTTTGAGAAGTGGTGTGATGCTGTTTTTGCTGCCTGAGTTTTTATTATTGCTAAATTGGTTTGAGATTTTATCTTTTTGTTTTATGCAAATGTTCAGATGCGTAGTTCTGGCAGCATCCTGAGTTGCTCTGTGTATTCATTGTCACTTTGCTTTAGGCAAAATGTATTGTTTTTCAGCTTTTCAATAAGTAAAAGAAATGTAAAATGAACTGCTACATTTCAGTTGAGTTTTATATCACAACTGCACAATCACCAACCATCATGTGTTTTAATAATTTATGTCTTAAACATTCATATCTCAGTTAGTTATTAAGATAGTATCATATACCAAGATAATTATTGCTTTTGTACTGTGAAATTTTCTAATCAGCCCATGCCAACATCTCAGAATCAATGCTCTGCTATAATTAAACTAAATGCCCGCATTCAATTTAATTTCATTTTCAGTTTAGTCTCATCAAATCCACACTCACATCTTAAAATCCTCTCATTTCATCCTGTTTTCATATTTTTATGGCTGCACGATTTCATTAAATGGAAATATGTTATATGTCTTGTACATCTTTATCTAATATTTTATTTTCCTATATATATGGCATATCTGGTATCTTTGGAAAATTCCACAAGACTAAAGTTTTTAGGGTGTAAGAAGTTAATTCGATTAGACTATGATTTAAAATTAGTTGACATTTTCAATGTATTTGACTGAATTACCTTGTTTTTGCTTTGCAGAGTTTTTCATCGATGGCCTGGGATCTCTGCACGTGGGCTCTTGTGATGATGTCATTGTCAATCATGCAACCAAAATCAAACTTCCCTGGGTCAGCCAATCAGAGAGCGACAAGACTTACGCCAAGTATCGTTACCCACCGGCCTCCTCTGACGCCACACACACGAAAAATGGCCTCCTGTTCTTCAAAAACCGATTCCAGTGTTTGACTCATAATTAGTTCCTGTCCTCTTTGTCCTGAGGGTTCCTCTGCTCTTACTGAGTTGCCAAAGAAGTTCTCCTCCACCGTGTCCCATCAGATAAGATTTCAGACAAACACTATGGTTTGTGTTTCTTGTGGTTTCACCATAGAGAAAATGTGCCATTAGGGCGGATTAGCATGTTTATACAGTCAGTGCAGGGCTCTGTGGTGAAAAGTCCTCATACGCAGTAAATCTCTAGAGGCCAGATGTGAAAGTTAAGCTCTCTTCTGTTGTGGAACCAGTAGATATCCAGCTGCGGTAACAAACATACCGTCTTGTTAAATCGCAGCATAATCTTGATTAATTCAAGGCTTTGTGTTTGTCAAATCTTATCTGGCTTTACATCCTTCAGTTGTTCTAACACAGAGACCGAGCTTTGGGCGCAAACCCAACAGGTAGCATCTAAACAGTCTGAGTCACTTCATTGTCGTTCTATGCTGACATGAGAGTACATGGTCATGTCATGTCCTCCTTCAATTTGCACTATCTAAAAAGACTGAGCTTGGAAAAGCAATAGTGACATCAGAGAGCCAGAGAACAAGGGCTCTCTGTTAGCGAGGACGGACGGACACTTACCAGAAAGTACCAATCCTGTAGATACAGAGCATAGGTGTCCTTTTTACCAATGCCACATGAAGAACGCACTCAAAACTTTTTCACCTGTGGTACCTGTTCTCTGTGACTGGTCGTGCCAAAGGTTTTGCTGCTGGCTTTGAGGTGTTTTCATTTGTTTGTGTTATGGTTTTGAAACCCCTTTACTCAGAATCCTGTGTGTCATTTGTGGATGATTAATCTTGTCCAAGGATGTGAAACTTTGAGGGGTGGGGGGGGGGGCACGCCTGTGTGTTACGTGACCTAGGAGCATCCTTGTTTTTGTCTTCTGCGGTCTGTCACTCTCAAACATCGTTTCTGTCCAGTGCACGCTGATGAACAACGATGAAAGTGATTGCGTCTTTACATGCTGCCTAAAATAAAAGATGAGTGAACCAAAGTGCATGTTTATTTACCCTCATGATAAGAGAAGAAAAAAGAAAAGAAAAAACAGGCACACTGAGAGAGGAGTAATGGGGCTTTGATGATAAATTAAAACACAAAGAAGTCAGAGCATGTGAGGACTAAGGAGTAGTGAGACAAATCCTGTTTCTACACCAAGGGCTCCTTCAAGACTGTGAGGCACTCATGCCTGAAGTGATGATCCTGTTCTTTTATGCCATGACCTTTAGATGGCGCCTTTGTGTCACTATTTTTTCCCTAATGATTCAGTTTACTTTTTAACAATTCCCACAGGAATATTTTGAAACTATTTTGTTAGCTCTGTAGAGGGGTCAGAATGAAACTTCTTCAGTGAGAAGGTGTGTGTGTGTGTGTGTGTGTGTGTGAGCTGAAAACGTGATATTTATTGTGTTAACACAATATTAATTATTTAACTATTTTAACTTGCCTGCTTCATCCAAAAATCACTGGTGTGAATCGTCTGGTTACGGTGTTATAAGCATTTTAAAATTAATTTTAAATGTTGACATATTAAAATGTCTGTGGAAACACGTGTCTTTTATTTACAAAAAATATGTGCTAAACGTTGGGGGTTGCAGAGTAAAAACACAAAGTCACAGGTTCAGTCTACATTATAGTCAATGTCCTTCAAGGCATCCCTGTCCATCTCCAAAGCTGTAAGGCATTTAATATATAACAAAAATTAAGCAAAGGTCAAAATTGTTTATAATCAATGCTCTTATAAATGTTGGACTGTGACATCTTTACCCACAGAACTCAGTTCATATTCTATGATTTCTATGTGATATAAGAAGAATTTAGTGCCTGTTTTCTTCTTGTCAAATGCAATAGTTGGCACCTGCAGTCTTGGGCACATCCAACGAAGGTTAAAGTCAAGGGCAACTGGACTTAGTTGAAGATACTGGAAGACGTTTCGTCCCTCATCCAAGGTACTTCTTCAGTTCTGACTGACTGGAAGGGAAACTCCGCTATTTAACCTCAGTGGGGTCGTTTTCCCGGTATCGACGATCCTAGCAAACACCCTACTTGGATGAGGGACGAAACGTCTTCCAATATCTTCAACCAAGTCCAGTTGCCCTGGACTTTAAGCTTCATTGGGTAACTATGACCTGGATGACGGAGATTCTTCACATACATCTTGGGCACATATAATCTTTCATATTGGTTCACTATATTACAGTATTTTGACTAACGTTGAAGTTGTGAGGCAGGAGTGTAACTTAGGTTAAAGGATATGATAACTTAAGACAATGTGAATTTACAGCATATTTACAAGCTTTTCACAGAGGGCAACACATTAAGTGTTTTAGAGAGCTGGCATGTTATACAAGAGGAGGTGTAAATACATAGTGCGAGTCCCCAACATCACTTGCACAAATACACAGTGTAAATGAATGAGCATTTGGGACATACTGTGTCACACAGTCAGATGGTTGTTGGCACAAACAAGCACATGCTGTTCTGTTTGTAACAGAGAGTTAAAGGGGTTCCAAGAAGTCTTTCACCTCGAGTCTTAAAGTGCTGCAGACCTTTTAAAAAAGCATGTATCATGATACAAACAGGAACTTTCTGCTAGTTGTAATGTACAACAGCAGCCAGATGTAGGAAATCGTGCCCTGTTTGGGCAAGGTAGGTGTTTGCTTTCCCCTAGTTTAAAAATATTTTGTGGTAATCACATTAAATCTGTCTGTAGTCTAAATGTAAATAATCATCATATAAAATTTGAAAATAACGTCACATTCAAATTGACAATGTGATTCAATTCAGACACAATCATGAGGGTCTTCAATCGCTCCACTAGAGGGCGGTGGATACCAACAGGTTCTCTGTTTTGAACTTGATCTCCTGCAAAGATAAGATTTAATGGGATTTTTAAAAAATATGGTTTTCTGTAAATAAACAAACATTTTAAAGCAGAAAAACAGTTAAAGTGAGGTGGGTGCAAACGTGGCCGCTGACACGTGATGTCTGAAAATTGACCCATAGCAGGGACATTAAATTACAGAAAAAAATCTGCAGGCTTAAACTTCTGTCTATGACTAGCTAACATGTGAGTAAGTGCTTTTAGAAAAACAACCATGACACATATCTGAACAGCATTTCTCTTTAATTCTGTGTATATCAGGACACCACATGTGAAAGAGATGCATTGATATGATCCCACATGATCCCACATGAGATTATTTCCATTCAATAGGACAGTGAAAGATGAAGATCTCTGTTTTATCATTGTTCCCTTTTTCCTCTTTCTGATGTGTGCTCTATGTGAGTTTTCAAATGTGTTTAGTTCAGATAACACTGTAACAATGGCAGGGTTAAAATAGCCCACCGAAGGGAAAACACAGCTATTTGCTAACATGCAGGGAATGTACGGACATCTACAGAGTATGACTATGTAAAGGGATTTGAGATCCCAGTTCTCAGGGGGATTAAATGGAATTGGTCCCTTATGAAAATATTACGCATTAAAAAAATATCCATTAAGGAATTTTCAATGGAAAAAGTAAGAAATGTATACATATACAATATAAAGTACAGTCTCTGTGGTGCTTCAAACACATATTTTTTAAACTAATTTGTCATCACCATCTGTAGATGTGTGTACATGCAGAGTATACACACATCTACACACAAATTATTAAACCGAGATCAAATCCAGATAAGCCTAAATCATAATGTTATGTGAAGGAAATTTAGGATAATGTGTGAAGACAGAAACACTGAGACCTTGATGATTTCTGTACAAGGGAAACAAACAATGCTGACAGAGCACTCTGACTCAGTCGAGGCGTTTTTACTCCAGAGGGGTAAAGTGAGTTCATTTGTCCGCGCAGGTTATTACTGCTCGCTCTCTGTGAGCTGATCCAGGTTGTTTGGTCGATACGCTGAACAACTCCCACCGTCATTTAATGTGGTCGCCTGGAAACTGGCAGTCAGAACCTGAAAGGGGGAAAAGAGGTTTATTTTGTAAGAGTGAGGTTTAAATGTGGAACTTCAAAAAGTAGAAAGAACTTTCTTACTTTATATTAGGAGTGTTTCTGAACAGTTGGAGATTTTGTTAATGACACACAACATCTTGTCATTTTCAAAGACAAGTTCATTGCATAATCATTCTGTTTGGGGGGCCTAAATGTAAATGAAATGTTACTTTGAGAATTAACAAAACACATTTGAAATACAATAGCCAGTAACAGATAACATTTCTAAACAGCCAGAGGACAAAATAATGAGATAAAAATGAAATAAATTCATGTTAATTACATCACCTTAACATAAATATCAACAATCTTGACTACACACTTTGATTGAAGGATTTGATACAAACTTAGGCTGTTAACATTTTAAATCTGCATTCATTGATTTTTTTGTTTGGCCACTTGGGGGAAGCAGACCAAGGTGTATAATCACAAAGTTATTACACCTAACATGTTAGCAAACATTTGCAGCTGTTATGGAGCAACAGTATCTCAACTCTCTCTCTTTAAGCTCTGTTTCTGGCTTTTCACCTGTTTATTGCCCCACTATGTTCAACAGCTAATCGTTTATTGTGTGTGTCTGCCGTTTGGTGCTGAGCAGGTAATGTACATTAGGGTTTTTAGAGCTTAAAACAGCTAAGTCAGTTGTTAACATAAAAGTATATAGTTATAGGTAATAGTTATGATTAAAACTAACTGTCTCTGGATATTACTTTTATGGAGCTAAGATTATGGAGCTGTAAAAGTCTGACAAAGGTTTCTCCCTGAGGAATATGCAACATTGAAATTTTTTAGAAACATAGGAAACCTGTCTGAACTCCTGCACCTAACGCAGGATGGAAACACTGCTGATCCGAAAACACAAAGAGGCAGGACAAGAGGACGAGAGCAATGTTGTGGACAAGCCAGATTGGGAAGTCTAGTAAGAGGACTGGGATCAAACCATTTCCTCCTCTACGCGGAAGTCTGAGTGAATAAGATAAAACAGAAGGTCAATGGTTTTTCCACAAACTGGTTGACTGAATGACACTGGCTACAGATTAGGTCAACCAGATTTGTAACTCCACACAGAAACAACAACAGGATATTTGACAAAAGCAACCAGAGAGTCATTTCCCCTCATCATTAGAGATCATGACAACAAACGGCCTTAGCCTGCTGATGTAGAGATAAGAGCTCTGCCAACTTAATGTATCCAATTTTAAAAACAGTGAATTCATCTTTATTGTGCACGATAAACACATGGTTGTTATGGCCATGATAAAGCTGCTGCAGCTGCAACATTTAATTAGCCCAGAGGAGAGAGAAAGTGACGACTTACATTACATTTACTCAAGTGCTGTTTTGTTTCCAGGTCCTGACAGTACTTTATGGTTGTAGTTACTTATAGTTCCTGTGCAGATTTTGTGTACTTTGTTTTACAAAACATGTACAGAAAAAAAGCTTAAAATGATGCATTGCTATTGGTTACACAATGGAGGCAAATGTGTGGCTCTACTTTATATAAAATTCATTTGACTTGACTAGCGCATGAAGCACAAATGAACACATCAACCTTCGTTGACTCCATTACTTTTAATAGAACATGTTTTAAGAGTAACGTATTGTGATACCAGGCTGAAAAGCAGCATGTCACTACCCTTTCCGGTGGAAAGTTTTAAGTTTGTGTGGGCAGAAGTATGATCAGTGTACACTTCTGGCAACAACAGATATGTTAGAGTGTACTGACCACACCTAGGAGTACACTTATACATCGGTACAGCAAGGTGAGAAGTTTAACCATTCAAAGTCAGCAAAAACAAGATTCTCAGCTGTTTTTATGTTCATTTATATAAAAAACATATTTTTGATCATACCCCTATTGTAGTATTGTTAGTATAGTATTGTAGTCTTGTTTGTAGTGCTCACAGCATTTAAAGTTATAAATAGCCATTTGAATACACATTTCACTGCTGTGTTAAGGAAGACTGATGTACCTGCATGCTGTGCTGGCTGCAGGGTG